AATCATATCCAACAAGAGCATTCACATCCAACAGAGACCTACTGATTTCCACCCTGATCAGCCCACACTGGGATCACTGCTTCAGGTTCTGAGCACCTCGCCGTTTTTATTTCAAGAGGGACACTGACAAGCTGAATCACCACAGTGGTTGAGGGGCTGGTGACCTGTCCCGTGAGGACCTGGGACACTTGAGCCTTACAAGAGCAGGCCGTGGGGACGATGTCACCGTCCTGAATCTCTACAGGATAGTCACAGGACATAACGCAGACATGTTTTACACGGCTCCAGAGGGCAGAGCCGAAACAGACAAGTGAAAACAGGAGCAGGTTTCCGCTCAGATTGAGGAAAATGTTTCCAATTGACAAAACTGTGATTCGGGTGGTTTAACCTCTGCAGAGGCGAAGTTTGGTAGAGACCCTGGAGAAACGATGTTAAACAGGCCCCAAAGCCAGTCTGCTCAAATATTGATTGTCTCCGCAGTGATGGATAACTAATTCAAAATGTGTAGACCCTGTATGTGCTGACCCATTTAGCTTTCAGGTTCTATATTAAGTGTCACTCCTCTCATTCTAGCTCAGCATTCTCAGTAAAAAAACCATGGCTCCTTGTATGTGGGAAACAGGTTTCAAGCACGGAGTCTCTAGCACCAAGCAAAATGGCAACATAATTTTAGCTCCTGAGCAAAATGGGTCTCACAATAGCGTCAGTTTGGTGTGCACATTAACACTTGAATGTGCTGTATAATAAGCGTGCTAATTACTCTGAGAAGAATACTCGAAGAATAAAGTAAGCTGTGATCATTGGGGGAGAAGGGGGCTAGCAATTTATGGCATGGCTGCTGCTTGCTATTCAAAAGTACATGACAGCTCTCATCACAGGTAACAGGCAATTACTGTGACTATAAAATGTAATGACAGTGGGAAGAAATGATCAGAAGTTTATTGGAAATCAATTTGTGGTACAGTTTTTTTAAAAACACATTTAGATTTATTACTCATAAAAATGTGTCCTCATTTGATGGTTTGGTTCCTTCAAGCAGTTCGAACATGAATCCACTGCTCTGTTACTAATCTCAGCTTTGCAGGAAGTAGCCAAGTTTTCATTGTAAATGAGAAGCTGACGTGGGGAGGCCTCAGGTTGGATATGCGGACATGACCATCACTTTGTGCTGGGACAGAAGCTGTCATGGGGAGCTGGCTGACACCCCGCACCCTGGATGACCTAGACCAGCAGTTCTCAGAGTCTGCTCTGCAGACCTCTGGGGGTTCCTGATACTCTTTCAGGGGGTCCATAAGGTCAAAATTATTTTCATAATAATCTTAAGATGTTAGTTGGCTTTTTCACAGTATTGAAAGACTTCAAATTATATGACTCAACTTATATAAAATGTCCATGAGAGGCATCTATAGAGACTGCTCTGTTACTGATCTCAGCTTTGCAGGAAGTGGCCGAGTTTTCACTGGAAATGAGAAGCTGAGGTGGGGAGGCCTCAGGTTGGATACGGGGACATGACCATCACTCTGTGCTGGTAAGGAGTTCCCAGGGGCTAGGGGAGGCCAGAGGGGAGTGATTGCTTAATTGGTACGGGGTTTCCGTCCGGGCGGAGTGAAGATGTTCTGGAACTAAGTAGTGGTGGTGGGTACACAAATAAATGCTACTAAATTGTCTCTTTTTATTGGTTTAAAATGGTGAATTTTGTTGTATTTTACAACAATTTAAAAAAGGGAAAGGTTGCACATTAAAGGAAGCATGAGGGGAGTTCCCTGGCAGTCCAGTGGTTGAGACCCCTGGAGCTTCCACTGCAGGAGGAATGGGTTTGATCCCTGGTCAGGGAACTAAAATCCCACATGCCACATGGCACAGCTCCCCCCAAAATAAAATAAAACAAAAAAATAAAAGAACCATGAGAGCTTCTTTCCTTCCAGAATATTAAAGCTTCTGGAAGGTTTTCTAACCCTGGAAGTTCTCTTTGCTAGGTCTTTCAATAGCTGTAACTCTGAAAGTATGAAACATTCGTCCTTATTCCCCTAACAGGCTAAGCCCTTCAAAACTACTTCTTTGAACTTTGCCTAATGTTAGTCTATACTTGAAATAGCCTTTCTCTCAACCTGGAAGGCTACTACCTGTTGTTTGAAGTCCACTTAAAATGACATTCCCTTCAACTGCTGAAGCCTGCATGCCCTAAAGCCCGTGTTCCGCAGCAAGAGACTCCACGGCAGTGAGAAGGCCTCACAGCAGTGAGAAGGCTCCACAGCAGTGAGAAGGCTCCACGGCAGTGAGAAGGCCTCACGGCGCGGCAGGGTAACTGCCCCCAACCCCCGTGCAGCAGCAAAGACCCAGCCAAGCCGTAAATAAAGAACGTTATTACTTTTTAAATGACATTCCCTTGACGAAATCTTCCTGGGCCTCCACCCCCAACCCCACCCCAGAAAATGTGGTCCCTTCCCTCAGTCTAGCTTCTTACAGAGCTTTGGTCGTGCTCCTTATGTGGCACTCCTGACATAAGACCTAGTATCACAGTTACAATACAGAACATCACTTTTTGCCTCTCTGTTAAGGTATTTCTTAACAGTACCTCTTATTATCTCTGAAGCCCAGTACACACACACACACACACACACACACACACACACACACACAGAGCGCTCTCCAAATGTACTAATTAATAACTTTAAGTACTTTTCAAAAGGCTTTATAAACATTGACTAATTTAATCCTTGCCACTTTATATACATTTCATAGATGGTTAAACTGAGGAAAGAAATACTTTAGGGCATGAAGAGGTGTTAAAACAGCAAAATGGTGTGACTGCAAAGCCACATGATGGCATTTGGAGTCACACGTGGCTCCTGGGTGGTGCTCAGTAAACGGCTGTTTCATCTGACTGTGAGTAAAAAAACGTCGCCTGCCACATCAGTAAACAAAGGATGCTGCTGCCATCAAGTTATCACCTTACAGCACCCCAGCGGTGAGCCCTGAGGGAACTTGGGATGCAAACCGGCTGCCAGCTATCAAGCCAGCAGCCCCTGCAGCCGCTCACAAGGTGTACCCTGATTTCAGGGCAGGAAAGCACAGGGCACTGGTCGCAGGAAGGCTGAGGCGCCATCACAGGGATGATGTCACTGAGCCCAGGCTTCTGCATCTTCCCATACACAGAAAAGTGTTAAGTTCATTAACTTGAGTTGTCTGGTTTTCTTTAATTCACAATAATATTTTGGACTTCCCTGGTGGTCCAGTGGTTAAGACTCTGTGATTCCACTGCAGGGGACATGGGTTCCATCCCTGAACATGAGTTTGAGCAAACTCTGGGAGATAATGAAGGACAGGGAACCCTGGCATGCTGCAGTCCATGGCGTTGCAAAGAGTTGGTCACAACTTAGTGACTGCACAACAAACCTTTTGAAGTTCCGACCACCTGCTCTTTGTTGCAAATACTCCTACGTATCCTAGCTCCTCCTCCCTTACCTCCTCAGAGCAGTCTCAGTGATATCTGAGAGGCTGTGTCCTGGGCTTAAAGCTCTGTTTTGTCTGCCAAATAAAACATAATTCTTGACTTTTAGGTTGTGTATATTTTTCAGTTGACATAAAAAATAAAAAGTGGCTAATAATATTAAGTAAATGAAAGAGATTTATTCTCGTGACTTGTTAAATATTTCCATATATTTTTTAGACCTCATAGCACGTGAGACCTGGGAGAGACCTTGGTTATCTCCTCATGCAAGTTGGAGATTGGGGAGGGGAAACCCCAAGGTGATCCTGTGGAAGAAATATGGATCTGGAGATTAAGAGGTGAGATCAGGAGTAGTAGAGCAGAGTGCTTAAAATAATAAAGAGAGAAAGGGTAGCTTTAAATTATTATCAACCAGCATTTAAGAAACCCCCTACCCAGAAGAAAGACAGAGAAAGGCCACAGAATTAGGAGATGGGAGAGTCCCAGAGCAGTGCAAGCTGCCCAACGACATGCATTATCAACGGGTGATACACAGAGTTTCAAATTAAAGAGCACTTCAAGGCTTCCCAAGAAAACCAGCTCCTTTGTCTACTCCCATCCCACCCTGATGGGTCTCCCCAGAGGCAACTACCGCCAAGTTTTTAGCTGTTTCTTCTGATGTTTACCTCGTATTTATAGACACACACTTCTGTTCTATGCTTTGGTTTTTTCCACTTTAGATATTATCTCTTGACTATTATTAGAAGATGAGGATTCAGTTCTCTGCGAGCACCTCTAAAAGCTGAGTGGGCACTAGTAAGCTGGAAACCAAGTGACCCATCTTAAAGAGAGGCAGCTGCTACTCAGCAGGTTATTGCCAGAGAATGCAGCTCCCCATTGGCAGAATGTACCAAAGCAACGCTGACACCTATGTTCGTATGCACATAATTAAAACACAGCCAGAAAACTGACTTAGCGATGAAGTTCGCACCAAACACCACATCCAAGTGTGCAGTGTTAGTCACTCAGTCGCGTCCAGCTGTTGGCAACCCCGAGGACTGCAGCCCGCCAGGCTCCTCTGTCCATGGGATTCCCAGGCAAGAATACCGGAGTGGGTGGCCACTCCCTTCTCCAGGGGATCTTCCTGAGCCAGGGATAAACCCGGGTCTCCCACACTGCAGGCAGATCCTTTACTGTCTGACCACCAGGGAAGCCCATGGGTTGTTTTGATTCGGCCCAGCACCCACGTCATCAAGGCTGACCTCGATGCGAGATGGTTCCAGACAAGCCCCAGAGCCCTTCAACCACATCCAGACGGGTACAGGTCACTTCTGGAAACCTTCCTCTCAGTGGGCCTAGCAAGTCTCTGTGGACTTGCACCTGCAGGAGATGCTATGGGGGTTCGCCCTGATCCCCTCTTCAGGGGAACTTACCTGTCCCTCAGCTGCTGGGAATAGTCTTGCTCTCAGCCTCAGGAAACCATGCCCGCAAAGTTTTATACCCCCTCCCAGGGTGCAGTCTGAGGCCCATGACTGGCTGATGTGGGAACTCAAACGTCCGGCCCCCTTACCTCAATCTGTGACAACTCGAAAGGGTCATCCGCATCCTCGAGTTCTTGGGGTCAGCTGAGGCTTTGGTTGTAACTGCCGCTGCACCTACTTTGCAGGTCAGTTTCTCTCCACACCCACCTCTGTCTTCTTTGCATCCCGATCGGTAACCTTCTTTCTCAGTAAACCTTGAGCATCCAAGTCTCATCTCAGATTCTGTTCCCAAGGAACCCAATCTTACAACAGTGCTTGTTTCTGAATCCATAAAGGTGACAAAAGGTAGGATTATGCTGATGAATTCAGATAAGTTTGCATGTCATGTTCTAGAACCAGGGATGGGATCCATCTTTCCAACACACATAAGCTGAACCAGAGGGGATAGGGACTTTACGAAAGGGGGAAACTTTAGTAAATTTTTGTTTACTAAGGGAAGAATCATTGGTGAGGCAGCTACACAGATCTTTGGATCTATCAAGAGAAGCCAGAAACAGTTTATGTAAAAAAAAAAAAAAGCCTTCCTTTAAAGTTTGTTTTTTTTAATGTGGACTATTTAAAAAGTCTGTATTGAATTTGATACAATATTGTTTCTGTTTTTATGTTTTGGTTTTTGGGCCAAGAGGCATGTGGGATCCTAGCTCCCCAACTAAGGATTGAACCTGGACCCCCTGCATTGGAAATTGAAATCTTAACCACTCAACCACCAGGAAAGTTCCCCTCATGATGTTTTGATGTCAAAATCTAATTTAAATATTTTGAAACATGGTCTGGTACTGGCCCACATTTCAGCAGTTTGTGATCTTGGCCAGAGAGCACACAGGTGCATTTTGCAGTCCAAAGAGCTAAGTTGGCACTAATGGTGATCATGAAGTCAAGATTTCAGCTCAACCCAAACGGTTTCCTAATGATTTGAGCAAAATGCAAAATGAAAGTGGAATGAAGCACCTCGGGAGGTAGTGAGTTCCTGGGCACCAAAGCCATTGTTTGAGTCTTAGAATTTGAATTATGTGATTTTTGAATTCCTATTCATTGATAGCCATATGAAGTGCTGTATATACATATCACCCATACACCCTTCAGCTAATGTCAATAGCACACAGCAATGGGATTGCACCAATGGTTCTACTGAAGCGCAACCCAATTTCCTTTTCCTGGAAAACACACTCCACTTGATGCATGGCTTCTGGATACTTCAGCATCAAAGGAAATAAAAGGTGAAAAGAGAAGCATGTGTTTCACTGCCCTACTCTAGTCTTAGTTACAAAAATGTCACCAGCAAATCCATTATGAGACCCTCTGTGGCTTAGAAATTAGGATCATATTCTAGATATCAGAGCTGGAAGCATCTGAAAGATCATGCAGTCTTGCTCTTTCATTCAGTAGGAGAAACCACAGAAAAGAGAAGGAACCCACCTGAAGGACACAGCAGAGCCAGGACTAGAATCCCGATCTCTTTACTCTTGAAGCTGAGTTCTCGCTACAGCCCCAAACCCACTTTTTTTTTTTTTTGGTCATTAAATTGCTATCGGCAAGTTATCCTGGAGTGATAGGACTTCTGGGCTAATGGACCTCAAGATTCTCACAGACAGGAGGTAGCCAGACTCTGTCTTCTTCAGCAGTCTAGAATGCCTAACCATTTATAGAGATAGTTTATTTAATTCTGTTTAGAATTTTTTGTAAAATGTAATATGCTCACATGGTTTAAAAAAAAAAAAGGTATGCACTAAAAGTTTCACTCCCATTCTTCCCCCAATACGTCTTACCCCTCCTATAGGTGATCTTATTAGTTTCTTGTGAATCATTATAAGAAATTTGAAGTTACTTCCCTTGATTCTCAAAACCATCTTGGTAGGGTGGGGATATGCACTCATCTTCATTTCACCTATGAGGAAACCAAGACTTAGGGAGCCTCAGTGAAGAAAAGAATGAAAAACTAACCAAATCCAAACTCAGTGTTTTTCCCAAAATGTCACTACGACTTTCAATAGCCCCACCATGTGTGGTAAGAGCTTAGCTACCAGGCCCAGGATGAAACAAGTGGGCCCAAAAGGCAGGCTGAGCTGCTGAACCAGAGCTCCTTACGTTTCCTAACACTACAGAGCCTGCAAAGGGAGCGATCAACCCAGGTCCTTCCTAAAGAGAAGAAGGACATACGAGGCAAATGACTACCTGGAAGCAGCACTTGCTTCATCCTGCTCCTTCATCCCATACACCTGCCAAAAAGCCCTGTCAAGCTTTCCTGTGAAACATTTAACCTATCTGCCCCCCACTCTTCTCTTTTCATAGCAGAAACACTGGTGCAGACTTCAGTCATCCTACATGTGGGTTGCTCTCAGAGGCTTTTAATTGGTCTCCTAGTCCACAAATAGCTTTAACCTAAATGAGCATGTATCATACCCAATTTCCATTTGTAACATGGGTGTAAATTATGCTGGTCCTTTAAAAAAGTCTCTTTTTTAATCTTTCAACTCCATGCTGTGGAAACAAGCCCATTAGTGTGTTAGTGAAGAAAAAAAGAAAAAAAGGTCACATAAAGAAGACTTGCTCCAGCTCAGAAATAAAGCTAGTCATAAGAGAGAAGAGACTTATTTAGAAAATGGATAACTAAATCATGATGCATCCATATGCTGGAATCGTACTCATAAATAAAGAGAAATGAGCTACCGTTTTACTCAACAACCCAGATGAATCTCAAAAATACATTGAGTGAAACGAGTCAGACACACAAGAGTGCAGGTGGTATGATTTCATCCACATGAAGTCCAAAACAGGCAAAATCGTCTCTCGGGGATATAACTGAGAACAAGGGTTGCCTGTGATGGGGCACGAAGGGGTACAGGGGGATGCTATAGCAATGCTTTCTGTCTTGACTGGGGTGCCAGCTACACAGCTGAACACCTTTGTCATAAGTAGCCAACTGAAGATTTTCCTGGCAGTCCAGTGGCTGAGACTCTGTGCTCCCAATACAGAGGGCACAGGTTCAATCCCTGGTAGAGAACCTATGATCAGTGCAGCCAAAAGAAAAACTTTTTCAAATTTTTAAAAGTTACCCCAAAAGTCACCAATTGTAAGTTTAACATCTGTGCATTGTACGTAATTATTCTTCAATTTAAGAGAGAAAGATAGGAGAAAAAGCAAGTGAGAGGGAGGCTGACCTTCTTAGGCTGTCGCCGAAAGGAGAACCGGATGTCCAGATACAGTAGCTTCAGAGTAATCCCTACCCTCTCTCAACTGCTCTCTAAAACACATTTTAAGAAATTGGGAAATCAGGGATCTCCCAGTTCAGTTCAGTTCAGTCGCTCAGTTGTATCTGACTCTTTGCGACCCCAACACTGTGCAAAACCTGACAGAAATGTCATGCCAGAAACTTGGCAATATCTCTGCTCTTATAAAGTGTGTGCTGCAGCTGGATGGAGCAAATCTGACCCAGTTTTGAGCTCCTATCATGCCCACCTCCATTCCAGAAGCAGACTGCCTCAGAAAGGGTGGGGAGGCCTCCATCTGTCCTCTGTGCTCTGGGGACCTCCAGCCCTTTTGGAATAGATCTCAGGCAAGCAGAGCACCTTTTCCCAGCATCCATACCCACAGTCAGGAGCCACCTCTGCCAGCGTGCATGCTCTTTTTTTAAGGAGACACTGCTCACCCTTTTAATTTATTTATGATGTGTACACACTACTTTATTTGCAGTTCGGCTGCACTGGGTCCTCACTGCTGTGCGCAGGCTTTTCCCTAGTTGCAGGGAGCAGGAGCTGCTCTCTGGCTGCAGTGCACGGGCTTCTCATTGCGGCGCACGGGCTTCAGCAGGCGCGGTGCGGTGGCGCACCAGTTGTGACTTGTGACCCGAGAGCGTGCAGGCCTCAGCAGTCGTGGCAGGTGGGCGCACGAGCTCAGCCTCGAAGGCTCTGACGCATGGGCTCAGCAGCTGCTCCACGACATGTGGGATCTTCCGGGGTCAGGGGTTGAACCCATGTCTCCTGCGCATTCTAAGAGGCGGATCCTTTTTTCTCAGAATTTCCTCAGGAGGCATCAAATCATCCACTGTCTTCTAGTTACCCGTGTTCTATTAAGTCTCATGCATGTTGATTTTTGAGCTTCTCATTATAACTTTTTTCTCTCTTAGGACACTTTCATTTGTTTTTTCATTATAATATACCTTGATGGGCCATTTCAGTCTGGAAATCCAGAGGAACTGCGTATGTTATTGCTTGATAATTTCATCCTTTACAGCTATAGGAACTGAAAATACTGGCATTTGGAGGTCTCTCCATGGAAATGCCAGCTTGCTTCCTGATCACCATGGAGTGATACCCACTAGTCTCTAAGACCTACCAGTACATCAGAGTTTCTGATCATTTTTTAAGTCCCTCTCTCGTAAATGTGAATAGATATTCAAGGATGACCATATACTCAGGAAAGACTTGTGAATATTAACAAAGAGAAACCTCACTAAAATAGAGTTGGGAGGCCAGAAGGGGAGCTCTCATGCATGTACTACACAACATCAATATAGATCCCCACATGTAGAGACCTCTCTTGCATCTCTGGGAGGAAGTGATACTATTATACTACCTTGGGAGGAAGAAAAATTTCTCCTTGCCTGGTAACATCTCAGCCAGTTTCCTCCAATGGACTTTTTGTTTTTAACAGCAGATCCCAATTTCTCCTTCTCTTCTATAAAAGAGTTTCCTTCCTTTTTCTTAACTGGACTTGCCAGTGGTTCACCACAGTTTCGTGTCCCAAGTTGCAATTCTTTGCTGGTCCCAAATAAATTCACTTTGCTGGTAAAATAACTGGCTGTTATTGTTGTCAGTTAACAGACTCTAACACAAGAGCCAGAAATCTGAGCTGGTAAAAAGGAACTTGGAAGGGACTTCCTGGTAGTCCAGTGGTTAAGAATCCACCTTGTAATGCAGGGGACATGGGTTCAATCCCTAGTCAGGGAACTAAAATCCCACATTCTGTGAAGCAGCCAAGCCCAGATGCCACAACTAGAGAGTCCCTGGGCCACAGTGAAAGATCCTGAGTGATACAATCAAGGCCCTTTGTGCTGCAAATAAAACCCAACACAGCCAAATAACTGCAATTAAAAAAAAAAAGGAACTTGGAGAAATGGAGACAATTCAGATATCATGATAAAACTTATCTCCTCAAAGATAAGAGGTATTATAGCAATGAAATAAAAACAGGATGTTATAAAAATGAATAGTTATAAAGACAAAAAAAGAGCCCTCCCTTGGAGATTACAGCTAAAACAAAACAAAATTTGGTTATCTTAGATGTTTACTCTTAAACCAGTCACTTTCCTCAGAAAAGAATCCTCCAATCTCCTGCCTTTGGAGATAGCTATTAGCATTCTGGAACTAAGTGGGGGAAGGGGAGTCAGAGGGGAACCTACATTTGGGATGTGGACTCCATTTTATCTTGTCTCTATTTCTTGAACTCTGATTAGTCAGATATTGGACCTCCTAGACTGATCCTTTGATTTTATTTGTCCTTTAGTATATTTCACTATCCTTTTGTTCAGTTTCTGGGAAAATTTTCCCAACAAATCCGCCACTGCTGCTGCTGTTCATTAAGCTGTGTCTGCAATCACATGGACTGGAGCACTCCAGGAATCCGCCATGACCAACCAGAAATCCCTCTGATACCATGTTACATCTTGTCTGATTATCCAGTCGACTCTTGAACAACACAAGGTTAGGGTTGCCCATCCTCCCTAAAGTTGAAGATTCATGTAAAACCTTAGAGCCAGCTCTTCATATCCAATTTGCATCCGTGGATTCAGTGAACCTTATATTGTATACAAACGTAATTTACATTTACTGAAAAAAATTCACGTGTAAGTGGTCCCACACAGTACAAACCTGCACTGTTCAAGGGTTAACTGTGTATTCTTTGGGGGACGAATGATAAGAAACAGGAAGGGAGAAATATGATGGGCAGCATAGGACTAGTGGTGTCGCTGTGCGCTCTGAAAGGCATGATCTCCACCTTTTATGTGGTCAGTGGAGATGCACTCTCACCTGGGCCTGACGTCCCCAAGTCCAGTGCCGTTCCAAGCCCACGCCTCCAGAGAGTAAATTTCTGGTCTTCTGCCATTTGTCCACTGGCTTCCCATTTGCTAAACTGTCCCAGAGGGTATAGACAGAAAAATAAGTGAATAGAGAAGGAGGTCCAGAAATAGACTTAAGAATATGAAGAATTTAGCATATGATACAGGTTACATTTCATATTCATTGAGGAAAAGATGGTTATTTAACACATGGTATTCAGGCAAGTAGCTAACCATTAAAAATAAAGAAAATTAGACCTTTACTTCAAGCCATACATTAAAATATTAATCTATATAGATTTCACATAAAAATGAAACCAGAAAAATAAAAAGAAAAAAAATGAAAAAAAAAAATGAAACCAGAATATCAGATGAAAATATATGTGAATATTTGTGAATATTCACAAATATATGTGAAATCTTGGGATGGGAAAAGCTCTCATGACATAAGAGCAATAAAGATTAATTTTATCTTAAATAAAAATTAAAAATTTTTCATCATCCTCACTAGTGTCTGTGTATGTTTATTAATACATACATACCTACAATTTTAAAAGCAAACAACAAGTGCGGAAAAATAGCTTGAAGATCAATATCAGGCTAAGTGTTAATATTCTTAACATATATGGAGCACTTGTTAATAATTTTAAAATACCAACAGGACATAAACAGGTAACTTACAAAGGAAAACAAACAGCTTTAAATATTTGAAAAAAAATTCAACCCCATTAGTTATATGGCCTTCCCTTGGGGCTCAGAAGTTAAAGCGTCTGCCTGCAATGCGGGAGACCCGGGTTCTATTTGTACATAAGAACAAATTAAAGTAAAAATGATATATCACTGTCAACTTGCTTAATTGATAAAAATTTTTTTACAGTTTTATTGAGATATAATTCAGATACCATAACGTTCACTTCTAAAGATGGCAGTTTAGTAGTTTTTAGTGTATGTTCAGAGTACTGCAACCATCAGTATCAAATTCCAGAGCATTCCTGGGGACTGACCTGGTGGTCCAGTGGCTAAGACTCTGCACTCCCAATGAGGGGGCCTAGGTTGGATCCCTGGTCAGGGAACTAGATCTCACATGCATGCAGCAACTAAGACGCAGCACAACGAAATAAACAAATACTTTTCTTTTTTTCTAAATTCCAGAGCATTCCTGTTACCCTAAAAGAAACCCCATACTCAGTTCTGTCTGACTCTGTGCAACCCTATGGACAGTAGCCTGCCAGGCTCCTCTGTCCATGGGGTTCTCTAGGCAAGAACACTGGAGTGGGTTGCCATGTCCTCCTCCAATGGATCTTCCTGACCCAGGAGTCAAACCAGCATCTCTTCCATCTCCTGCATTGGCAGGCAGGTTCTTTACTGGGAAGCCCTCTTTGTACACTGGTGCCAAATCAGATCCTGCAGATAGCTTTGGGTGAAGTAGCAAAGAAGAACTTCAGTGCTTTGCCAGACAAAGGGAGACACACCAAGTTTCTACCTCAAAAACTATGTGTCCCAGTCCCAGAGAACTTGATTCTTGCTTTTTATAACAGTGAGTCAGAAGTGGGGTCTCTGACAAGATTAAGGTGTAAGCTGGTCTTGCACTCCCTCCTCTCAGCCTCTCTCAGGTGGCGGATCTCCTAGCCCTAACGAGCTTCTCCAGTCCCTTTAATCTTGCCTCAGCTGATTTCTTGGTGTACCTTTCTTGGAGTACCTCCCTTGATTAGCAACTGTTCAAATCTGCCCTTTGGCACTCATGGACTCATGACTGGAGTCTTGACTACAGGAAATGGGGACAGAAAGGCCTTTGTGTCTGGGAGCCCCCCAGGGCCCCAGTCGGTTTCACTAGCAGTCGCTCCCGATTACTCCCAGCCTTTGGTGACCACTAATCTATTTTCTGCCTCTATGAAAAAGTGAAAGCATTAGTTGCCCAGTCATGTGGGATTCTTTGGGATTCTGTGGACTGTAACCCACCAGGCTCCTCTGTCCTCATGTAGCCCATGCATGCTCCCCTTGCATGGAATTCTCCAGGCAAGAATACTGGAGTGGTAGCCATTCCGTTACTCTAGGGGATCTTTCTGATCCAGGGATCGAACATGGGTCTCCTGCATTGTAGGCAGATTCTTTACCATCTGAGGCACCAGGGAAGTCCGTATGGATTTTCCTATTTTAGACACTCCATATAAGTGGAATCACACAGTCATCTTGTCAAAGTTCTTTCAGTTAGCATAATATTTTTACAGTTCATCCATGTTGTAGAACATAACAGTACTTCATTCCTTCTTACGACTGAAAAAAAATCCCATATTATGTATATACCACATGTTGCTTATCCATTCATCAGCTTATGGACATTTGGGTTGTTTTCCAGTTTATGACAATTATTAATAACGCTGCTATGAACATTCATGCACAAATTTTGTATGGACATATATTTTTATTCTGTTGGGTATATACCTAGAGGTGAAATTGCTGCCTGTATGTTTAACTTTAGGAGGCACTGCCAAGCTGTTTTCCATAGCAGCTGCACCATTTTACATTCTCCCCAGCAATGCACAAGTGTCCCAATTTTTCCACATCCTCACCAACACACATTATCCATCATTTTAATTACAGCCATCCTAGTGGGTCTGAAGTGGTATCTCACTGTAGTTTTGATTTTCATTTCCCAAATGCCTAATGATGTTAAGCTTCTTGCTTACTGGCCATTTGTATATTTTCTTTGGAGAAATGTCTATTCAAACTTTTCTATCCACTTTTAATTGGGTTTTCATTTTGTCATTGAGTTCTAATAGTTCTTTATTCTGGATACAAATCCCTTATTAGATGTATGATTTACAAATATTTTCCCTCATTCTATGTATTGTCTTTTCATTTTCTTGATGGTGTCATTTGAAGCACAAAAGTTTTAAATTTTGAATAAGTCAAATTTATTTCTTGTTTTCTTTGGTTTGTTGTACTTTCACTGTCATATCCAAGAAAGCTTTGCCTAATCCAAGGTCATGAAGATTTACTTGGTTTCCTCTGAGTCTTATAGTTTTATTTGTGTGTGTGCTCAGCTGCTCAGTCATGTCTGACTCTTTTCAACCCCTTGGACTGTAGCCCACAAGGCTCCTCTGTCCATGGAATTTTCCAGGCAAGAATACTGGAGCACGTTGCCATTTCCTACTCCAGGAGATCTTTCCGGCCCACGGAGTAAACCCTCATCTCTTGCGTCTTCTGCATTGGTGGGCAGATTCTTTACCACTATACCACCTGAGAAGCCTCTTATAGTTTTAGCTTTTGTATTTAAGTCCATGGTCCATCTTGAGTTAATTTTTGTATTTGCTGTGAGGCAGAGGTTCAACTTCATTCTTTCACATGTGGATATATGAGAATTGATGCTTTTGAACTGTGGTGTTGGAGAAGACTCTTGAGAGTCTCTTGGACTGCAAGGAGACCCAACCAGTCCATCCTAAAGGAAATCAGTCCTGAATATTTATTGGAAGTCTTGATGCTGAAGCTGAAACTCCAATACTTTGGCTACCTAACGCGAAGAACCGACTCATTGGAAAAGACTCTGATGCTGGGAAAGATTGAAGGCAGGAGGAGAAGGGGACAACAGAGGATGAGATGGTTGGATGGTATCACCAACTCTATGAACATGAGTTTGAGTAAGCTCCAGGAGTTGGTGATGGACAGGGAGGCCTGGCGTGCTGCAGTCCATGGGGCTGCAAAGTGTAGGGCACGACTGAGCGGCTGAACCAATGAGTCCAAAGCACATTTTGTTAAAAGACTGTTCTTTCATGTTGAATTGTCTTGGCACCCTTAGGCCTTCCACCTTGTCATTAGGTGAAAAATGATAAAGATTTTTAAATATTATATCCAATTTAGGCAAGAATGAGGGGAAGTTTTACACACTGCTGAGGAACAGCCTCCGAAAGGTGATTTGCCGTGTATATCTGATTTGAAAAATACATAGTGATTCAGGAGTTGTACTTCTAGGAATTTATTTCAAGGAGATAACTGTAAAAAGATGTATGAATGAACTGTTGCTCAGTTGTGTCTGACTTTGTGACCTCATGGACTGTAGCCTGCCAGGCTCCTCTGTTCATGGGATTCTCCAGGCAAGAATACTGGTGTGGATAGCCATTCCCTTCTCCAGGGTATCCAATGGTGAACAACATAAATGTTCATCAGAAGATGAGGTGAATAAATTGTGTTACAGCTGTACAATGAAATATGATGCAGACTTTAAAATGACAAAATGGATTTATTGACTTGGACCAATAACTGTGACTTACTGCTAAGTGAAAAATAAAAGCATGTTACAAAGCACCCTTTATAGTAGTATTCCACTTATATATTTTACATATGCATCTACATTCATAGAAACAGCTCACTGCTAACAAGAAATGTTAGCAGTGGTTGCTGCTAGGTAATGGGATTTTAGCTAGCTTGTATTTTCTTCTTTATACTTTTGGTGCTTTTTATGCATTTGCACCATGAATATGTATTGTCTTTATATTCAGAAAGAGAAAAGCTATTTTCATTTTGCAGAAAAATGTCCTCAAGGAATATATATCCTAGAAGACTATTCAATGGCATGGAAATATGTTCATAATATGTTAACTGAAAAGAGCAGGTTACAGTATTCCACTTAAATTTTTTAAATGTAATATACACAGTATTTCCTAGGTACTATGATACCTTTTCTCATCACTTACTATTTCTGAAATAAAAATGTTTCTTGCCATCAATATGAATATTTAATGTAGTGGTTTCCCCCTCCTTGCCTGCCTGCAAAGCTGTTATTAATGAGATGATGCTTCTGGCAATCTGAGACCTGAGAAAGTGCCATATGTGTGTAGAGAAAAGACTGGAGGAATAGACACCAAAACGTGAGCAATGCTTAGCCCTGAACTGAGATTTTAATTTTTTTGTTAAGCATACTTTCCAAGTTTTCTGTAGTATGTGCATAAACACACACAAAAGAAATCAGGAAAGCGGCTGCTCCACTTTTCAAAGAAGCAGAGTGTGAGGGTATTTGGGACTTTGGGCCTTTACAAAATAAGAGACTAGCAAATTAGGGTCACGCACGC